GGGCTAAGAAAGGCACTCCCGGCCAATCCTATCCCTAACCACAGCCCTCTAGCTGCCGAGACCCCGGCCCCCCGGCACTATCAGTCCCAGGTTGCGAAAAGAAAAAAGAGAAAACACGATGGACATTACCTAAGCACAAGGAAAAGTAGAAATCAAACCCTATCCATTACTCAAACCCTATTTACTACTAACCAATCATCAAAAGCCGCGCGAAAACCAGTCGAAAAGTACTCAAAACTACTCGAACCGTGACCGGTGGTAATTAGACCGGCGGTAATTACAAAAGAATTTAAAACCGGGAGCCAGGCCCGGCGTCGCTTTCATCAAGTCTGTGGGGGCGGAATAGTCAACCAACAAAAACAAACGATCCACCAAAACCCAAACAATCCAACCCTTGGCTCTCCTAACCAGGTCAAAACCAAAAATCCAACAAACAACAGTTAAATTCCCCCGAAGCCCTATCCATTACTGAACCCCATCTACCTCGAGGCAGTCCCAAAAATACTCAATTCTAGTGCACCATAGTTAGAGCGATGAGCACAACCATCAGCACGACCATCGGCAAGATGAGCAACCTAGTTCCACGCAGCCACACCTGTTCACGTTTTCACAAGGAAACAGCAAGTCACAACTGAGAGACCAAAGTCTCGATACGTCCATTCTTCTCTTAAAGGTGTTGCAGCATGCTCTCTCTCTCTCTCTCTCTCTCTCTCTCTCTCTCTCTCTCTCTCTCTCTCGCAGATTCACCAACAGCAAACCACAACAACCATCCAACAATCCACAACCCGCAACAACCATCCGGCAATCCACGACATGACCACTATATACCCCCTAAGCACCTAGAATCGGAATTCACTAAAACTAACAGTCGTGCCGTTCATAAACACAATCTATAATCCAGCAGAGATCCAAAGACAAAGAAGTGCTGAGCAGCACCACGTCCAAAGTAGGAGCATCGGCAGCAGTGGACAAACCCCGGTCATGGCTGAAGCCCTGTGTCAGCAATTCGCCAGCAGCTCTGGGCGATACCAGTTGCAGCAAGAAGTCCGTCGTCTTTCTCCCGGAAGTCGACGCTTATCGGTGTACTCCCTTCGTTCATCTCCAGTTCTTCACTCAAATGAGATTGCATCCGCCGCCACAACCCTATAGTGTTACGTATCTGCAATCAGTGGGCGAAGCCCCCTGATCAGGTGATAATTCTGGTATGTACGGTGCGCAGATCCCGCCCGTTGACCGTCCTCACATCTCTCCCCTTCTTGTCACAGCCAATCTAGGATTACCAACTTTCGTTGACCAAGACCAGGCTATGGCAGGTGCATGGTTGTGCCCCCTCGAAGCGGCCTCCACCTCATCGCCCACACGCTCCATCACCCCACCGCCTCCGCCACACCCAACAGCAAGTTCTGGCTAAGCATAGCTTATTCGCAGCTACCCCCGTGCGATCCCCCGCTGCCTGCGCACCGTAGTGATGACGCGCTAGCGCAGCGGTAACGCTGCGCTAGCGCTTGTGAGCACTTTTTTTTTTTTTTTTTCTTAATAAGAAAACCATGAACCCTCCTCCCTTATCTACGTATTACTCCCTTCCTAAAAACTACCTACCTCTTTAATATTATTCTACCTCCCCTAAATACTATGCCTATGCACAGGCCTACTGCGGCCTGACCCCGGCCCAAAACGACCGAGAGGAGCACTCCTTTGCAATCCCTATGATACTCTCCCACCCTACCACCCCGTTTGTGAACGAAATTTTCGATTATTTTTGCCTAAGTTTCGAAGAGAATGCGAAAAATGAAATAGGGCATTTGCCGTCACCTCCAGGAGCACGGTTCCACTAGCAAAGGAGTAAGGTGAACTGTGTCCCACAAACACCTTTGGGACATCTACGGGAAAGGATTAAGGTGAACTGTGTCCCACAAACACCTTTGGGACATCTACGGGACATCGTCCGACCACTGATGCAGGAGAATTGGATGGCAGCAAAATTGGGAGGGATTTATATTCTGA